TTGCAAATGAGTTTGTACAGTAAATGAGGACAATTAGGAGCCCATCAGTAGCAAACACTTTCGCCAAACTTGTTTGCTACATTTCAAGGAGTAGCACACTTTGTAATATGTGCTATTAGTGTCCTATTTGCTCTTAAATTTAAACACAAAAAATGTCATTTGGGTTATTTTTACTTAAGTAAATCATAATTTAAAAAATCAAATAGAATAGAAATATTATTTATTACCTTATCATCACAACATGCAGAAGTGCATATATATATATACATATATATATATATATATATATATATATATATATATATATATATATATATATACAGTACATATTTCAGTTACCACTGTTACATTTCAGTTGCCACAGTTACATGTCTTAACACAAAACAATAGCTTATACACCTAAAAGTTGATTCTGAATAGATTATAATCGCCATGTTCTTGCTAGAAAAGAGGGTTTGTTTAAAAAAAGTTCAATGAGAAGCTGTTGTCATCTGTTGTCATTCACAGATTTTTGAAAAAAAGGAATCTGACTTTGAATCCACTTTGCTCTCAAGAAAAGATTAAATATTAACAAATATAAAAATGAAATATAAAAGTTTTTTGTAAAATATTTATATGCATATAGTGTTTGTACAAAAGAGAAAGACAAGGTTAAAAGGACATTGTGTTAAAAACAAATCCACTGCATAGGCAACAGTGGTATGAAATATCATGATAATGAAAAATAATGAAAACCTCCTCCTTTTCAAACTAAAGGAGACATCATGGAGCTCCTGGGATGGTGTTTGATATTTTTTAAAGTTGTGAGTAAGTGCAGAGCCAATTAACCTGCCGTCCCTAGATATAATTTTTGATTCATGGGGTAATAAAAACAGAACTCATATTTCTTACCCATAATAAATTTTATCATTTGAATTAAACTGTATTTGTGCCCTTTGATCAATTTGACTTTTATTTTCTCTCAAGGCTCAGACTAAATCTTATGCATTTTTTTTCTTGATTAAATTTAGAGTATAATTTTGATTTTAATATCTGGTAGGGAAAAATGCATAATTACTTAGTTTTCTGCTTTATTTTGTTTGAAATCAGACTACCGTATAATGTATTGTCATTGCCACTCTGTGCCCTGCTGTATTTGGTTGCAGCTGATTGCTTTCTGAATGGATCACATGTCACTTTAGTTTAGTTTATCTCTTATTTAAGAGAAAAACATAAACAGCTATGTTTTTCTGCATAATGTCGCTCACATATCGTTTATAACACATGCTGTTCTCAGCGTACCTGGAACAAACTGTGCAAATATATTCTTATCTTTTACAAGCCTATTTCTTCCATCTGAACTGTGACACTGCATCCTTGACTTAAATAGACGTGTCCTCTAGCCGTATTTTATTGCTCTCCTTGCATCATTCATTCACATGTTCTTTTAGACGTTGGATTGGTCCTCTCTTTTTCTTTTTCTCATTATCAGCATAAAAGCAGAGTAAAGGCATTTATCAGAAATGTAATGGGGTCCATTGTGATTCCAGAAATCAACAACCAATGTTGAAAAATATGTTTATATGGAAGGATAATAGCTACACATTAAACAAACCCAGTCTTTCATGGAATAGTCACGAGAAGAAAAATACTTTTGAAGGAAAGTAGAAAACAAGCTAATGTTTAAAGTCTGCTGCAGCCCATGTAGGGGACACGGCTAACGAGGAGAAAGTTAACATCATGAAAAACTCACTTTAGTAGCAATTTACTGTTTATGTGCAATCTAAGACTAATATTTTTTGTTAAAGAAGGGACTTAATGAAAAAAATACATAGAGGTTAAAACAAAAATTTGTAATTTTTTAGTAGCTGATGCAACCAGAAGTGGACCAACAAATCCAGAGACCAGCCAAGGCCGTACTAATATTCTTATGCATCACACAGTTATAGTTTTTCCCCAAAATAAATAACAATAAATCCATCATAACATCATACATACCTTTAGGATATATGTTTACAAAAGCAAGACATTTTAGGTCTATGAACATTATTAGAAAGTAAGTTAAATATTGTCTTTGTCATCCTTAAATTTTTCACAGTTCATATATTTTGACGAAATTTATTCTGCTGGCACAAAGGTAGGATGGTTTCTTGATTTAAAATGAAATTGTTTGAAAATACCATTAACTCTGCATGATAAAGATTGCTACAATAAATGGCAGAACCTTCGCATGGTAACTGTTCACCACAGAGATAATCGTGCAGCATTTCTGGGAGTCCTTTCAAATTGACTAAATGAGGTTTCAGCAGTCTGTTGCCGTGAGCAGCATCTTCCCATTGGGAAAAAAAAAGGCAATCTTGAACAATGGATCTAATGAGGTTTTTAACGGATATGAAAGCATCTAAACGGTTAGATGTTTCCCTCTAGAAAATAATAAGAGTGAAAAGGGTAATGATGTGCTAAAATGTTAAGAGAACAGATGAATTGTTTAAAATCATAATTTTAGCATCTACAACATGCAAACAATTTCCCCCAAATTCTGCACTGCACAGAACTAGGCTTCCTAACATGTATCAGTAAGAGTTAGTTTGGTTCCCCCTAGTGGTTTCACTGAGTATGAACACAACAGCTATAACATCCCCTTAATCAGAGCTCCCTTTGCTTGCTTCAAAACAGTGACAACCTGTTAATCTAATTAAATCCAATCAAACAGGCCGATGTAACAAAGGAGAACCAAGGTAACTAATTAAGCAAATGGACTTTATAGAACGGAAAGAAGAAAACCAAAATCAGCAAAGTCATTAGATGTTTTAACTTTTCTGTTTGAAAGATTTAGGAGGTATCTGTGCTTCTTTGATCCCATTAATCACCACCCTACCCCCCAACATGCAATAAATCACAAAAGACACAGAGGTGTAAAAGTTCACTGGTCTTTGGTTTAATTGGTTTCAGAAACAGTGATATGAGGCACCATGTTAATTAGCAAAATGAGAAAGGCAGAAACGGAGATATCATAAAAAAACATGATGTTGTCTGGAGGAACGGGGCTGAAGTAGTTTCTATTCGCCTCCACAGAGCTCCAGCAGGATTTTACGGTAGTCGCCTGACGTGTCTCCCTAAATAGAGAGAAAAAGGTCTATGAGGATTTTAAGAATACTGCAAATTATCAAAAGCTCATTTTGGCTCCCCTTATACATATGGAAACATTTGCAGGGGGAAAAAAAGGCTTCCGTAGATTGAAAGGCTAGCAATCACTTAAAGCATGTTTTCCAATTATCATTATTAGATCATGGCTGATGTATTGTAAAGGTTGTGCTGACTAAAGCGTGTCCACGCCCCTCACCTTGATGAAGGAGTGCAGAGTCTTTCCATACATTTTCAGGAACTGAGCCTTAATGTCCAACATGTCGATTTCAGCTCTGGCGACCATTATTCTGATGAGGACGCTGTCTGTGGTGCCCAGCCCCTTAAAGGAAAAGACAGTAAACTGGATCAAAGTTGTGTTCATAAATCATTGAAGACTATTAATGCCAGTGGGTGATGAACATGCAAAAAAAAGCACTGAAAGAAACTAATAAAAACCCAAACCATAGATTTAAATCTGTATGTTTAAGTCTGGGTGATAGAAGATACCAATTAGGTTTGGACCTGGACTTTTAATAAGCCATATTCGACAATGTTCTGTTCCATTGGAGCCCTGGTTGTCTGTTTTACATCATTGTCTTTGAAGGTGCACCACCTGCTCATTCTTAGTATTTTGCTTAGTTTATTAACAATTTTTGTTTTTCAGGAAGCTTTGTGTACTGTAATTGTACCTTATAATGGACTGACATTTTCCCTTACCCTTCTGAAAAAGAATAACATCCCACCTGCACAATGCTGCACCTTCACGGTACATTGCAAATAATTTAAATCTCAATAATTCCGTTTTTCTTAAAAGATGTGAATTATTTCTTCAATTAAGGAGATAAGTGAGACACTTTGCAAATAGAACAAGGCAATTTAGATTTACAATAGGAAAAAACTATTTAACTAACTAACTACAGTCTCTCGTTTCAAGTGCAAATTATCTAAAATACTTATTTTAAGAATAATTATACTCATCCCATAGGTAAATCAACTTATTTCCCTACTCAGATTAAGGGTAAATGCACTTAATTTAAGACATTTTTTGCCTCCCATCATGCTATGGTTATGTGGAAAAAGTAACATTTTGATCTCATGTGACCAGAGCCCCTCCTTCTATGTCTTAAGTGTTGCTTTGTGGCTTATGGAAAACAGTATACAGAACTTTTTTTTGCTTTCTTTTGCCTATATCTTTCTTCTGACATCTGTTGGATAAAGGCTTTCTCAATGCATGACTCATAGTTGTCTGGTTGAAAGATTCTCCCCTACTGTGGATCTCTGCAGCTCCTCCAGAATTCCAATGAGTGTCTATGTTGTTTATATTTTTATAAAAGCTCTCCTTACCAGGCCTTTCAGAAAGGCTGTGTTTTAGTAGGCTTGCAGTTGTGCTTTTCTTTTAGTTACTGCAATGCTCTGCAAAACTTTCTAACTGACCGGTGTTTTATTATTTGTTCTTCAAAATATTTTTTCAAGCTTCATAACAGCTGTATTTGCATTGAGATTAAACTGTAATTAGCTATAATATCTCCTCTCAAGGGATCTTTTACACAGGATTTTGTTGCAGAAAATGATGGTTAAGGGAGACTGAATACAGCTCAACACCAAGCCTCTCAGATTTGTTTCTATAATGTATCTGAAAACCTTTAATTTCTTTTCAACGTATATTTACCTTCATTGACTTGTATAGTCGTTCAGCAAAGAATGCTGGCTTGTTCCTGATGCACTTCACTGCAAAGCAATAAAAACAAGCCAATATTAGTGTTAGTCACACTAAAATCTTAAAGTCATAGGGAAACGGCTGATCCAACAGTTGCAGTTCCCAATTCTCCTGAGTGGTGCCCGACTTCACACCAGTGAATAAAGTGAATGTGATTGGTAATTTATCAAGAGGGCGGGATTGTTGTGGCGGAAGGTTCGCAAGCAAGTTTGGTTGTGACCGGTGTCTCGAAAGCATCTTATTGACCAGTTAGCAACTTAGTGCTAGTAGGTTCCCAATAGGAAATTACATTGGGACCAAGTAATGCAACTAAAGACGACACTGTCAAGCAACGCTATGGACAGCGGAAACATGCAAGAGCAGGAGAGTTTTGTCGGAGGTCCTGGACGAGTCTCCTCTAACACATTTTTTACTTAGAAGAGGAAAGTGGGGAAGAAGATAATGTGGAAGAGGATGCCAGGGCGGCAGAAGCTTGGTTTGGTGTAGAAGGCTTACAGCCGTACATGTTTGAGCCCTTGCCTCACAACACTGCCAGTTCTGTTAGCTCTACGCCTGCTGAAGACACAGACGTCCATCCCCATGAACACTGGGACTGAAGTCAATGGTAAAGTAAATAATTCTTATCTCTTATTTCAACTGTCAAGATGCTATGACTGAAAAAAATCAATTGACAGATAACCATCGATATATGATCACACAAATTTATGTGTGCAGGCTGACGTATAACTAACTGGCCTTGATAAGATAACGAAAAAAACAAACAAACACAGATTTTAAGACAGGATTATTTTTTAAAAACTTTTGGGACAATATGGTCTGATAAAGAGTACATTTATATACATGTTAAACCAGAATGATAAATAAAACCTTAGATTTTTAAGTTTAAAGATAACTTCTATCAGCAGTCAGACAGTAACTGACAGCAAATAGATACCAGTTTGATGAAACCTGCAGGTATCAAAGCTGACCTATGGCCAGAAAGACGTCCTCCAAGCAGCCAGACATCTCCCTCTTGATACTTTCCTCAATGTCTTTGCCAGAAATCTTCTGATACTCTTCAAACACTGAAACAACAAGAGGATTTACAGAGGGGGGAAGTGATCCTTATGAGCTTGAGACTTACGGAATAGGTAAAAATACAAAACTGAATGTTTGGATATAAACCAGCCACAAGGGGGCAGTAAAGCCTTCTTAATCTATAACAAGACTTCCATCTCCAGTTCATGAAAAAAACTGCAGTTTTGGCAGGAGTACCTCTCAGCAGATGGTTTCGGTTTCTAACACACAGAACCGTGAGGAATTTAACCTCATCTGTGCCCCAACGAGCCTCTCCAGCCTCATAGATGTCCTACAAATCCAGGAGTAAAAAAAATGAATTAATAAAATAAATATACATATATATATATATAATTTATGTATGTATATGGGAGGTTAATTCCTGCTAAAGGTAGAAATATTGACCTTTGCATCTTGAACAGCCTGGGCTTCGTCCACCTTATCGCTTTCATCTCGTCCAGCCTGCAATTACAAAAAAACAAAATAAGTTCAATACGCAGCTAACTAGGGCATTAATGGCTACCGATTCCTCTTCTGTGAAAAAGCATCCATTACAAGTTTTCTCTTGACACATAACAGCACCTCAGAATTGCTGCTACATCAGTTTTGTTTGTGCTGTAATGTTTTACTCGAACTAATATCAAACAAATTAAAACAGAAAATATTCTTACATCAAGTAAAAGAAAGTTTTGTTAAGTCTTTACCAACAGATCTGGATGGGATAGATGACAGTCGAAAATTTTTTTTTTAGAAAATAACTTGTCAATAACAATGTATATGCAAGAAAGTAATTTTAATTGCTCCTAAAACTTTTTTGAGTGACTCCTACTTGTTGCTCTGTGTCTCAGTTCATCAGTGAATAAAGTGATTATTAATGGCACCTTTTATGTATCCTACCTTTTATCTAATCTATGCAGTGTTTTAATTACAGCACCTGAGACGATTATTTTTAAAAATCAAGTTTTTAATTTCAGTATATTAATTCAATGTTAGACCTATTAGTTTACTTTTTCAAAATCTTGTTGATTACCTGTTATACAAATTTCATCAGAAATATTTTCCGGGTTCATTCCTCTTATTCAATACTTCGAATGAGAAAGACAAATATGTGGTCATAGATTAACATCCTGGCCAATTTTTTGACATTTTCCTAATTTCCTGTTATGAAATTAATCATGATAACATGCAGTAAACTTCCCTATATAAAAAGTGACTAAACCTTTATACATGGTATTTCTAAATACTGCGTTAGCTTGAAGATCAAGCTCTTTAACTTTTCAAATTTTGATGCTCCATTTCTTTTCGCAGCCTTTAGTTTTATGAATCCAAAACAAGGAGATTTGTGTTAATGTCAGAAAATACCTCTTGGCATAGATATACCAGTATTTTCTGGTAGGAGTAATAATTTAAAATGTTTAAAACACTTGAACTGTAAAAAACAGGTCTCAATAACAACTATTGAATTTAAGGCATTTTGAAAATCTTTGACAGAGTTGCCAGTAATTGTGAGGTGTGATTTTAAAACTACATATTAAAGAAACAATACTGGAGAAAGCTTGGGGATTTTTGTTTGCTTACCGTGAGCAAAGACACCAAAACTCTTTTAAACATCCCAGAGGTGTCTCCAGACACATCCTGCTCCAGGGTCTTCCCATACTCTAAAGTGAAAAAAAAACACACAACATATATACCTACTTATAGTTCAATCTTACTTAAAGGCAGTTATTAAAAAATGCTATGTTTTCCATACAGTTTAGATAAACGCTCATTTGTGTCAGTTTAAAAACAAAATACTGAAAAAACAAAGGTAAAAAGAACGTGCTCCCAGACAGAGAGCAGATCACGTCCTGAATAATTTATTACTTCCACTGCTTTCTGATAATGGGCCTTTAGTCGCCTGCCGCCATACAATATCGTATGTCATACATAGGCCACAGGAAACAACAGATCCTAAGATATACAGTAACCTGACATATTGTTTACAGAAGTAACACGGTTACCTTTTTTATAGACTGAATTGATGGTATTTATTTCATCATTGGTTCTAGAAGCCAGAATGTCAATGAGGCAGGCCTCTTCAGTCCCAGCCCCCTGTGAAGAAGGAAATATGCATAAAATGAATTGGATCAATAGAAATTAGTTTAAGGCATAAAAGTAAGTCTATGTTTAATGGTGCTAGTTTTTCATTTGTTGTAATCTAACCTCGATGAAAATCAAAGACACATAATATGAGACAAACGCGGCTAATAAAATTCAATGATTAAGGGTGTAACCTTTTTTTTAAATGAGGAACATCTTTTTTTGCTATTCACAGAAATTTTACTCAAAATGTCACCAGTAATGTTAAGCGGATTTAATAAAAATGTCGAGAGCCTTTTTAGGAAGATGTACTCAAAAGTCATACAATAGTCTAAAGACTAAATATTTTAGGCCTTAAAATGGTCATAGAATTCAAAACCGAGTTTACATAGTCATAGATGAATAACGATAGTTCAGTGGGTGAAATGGACGTACAGAAAAGTTCACTCCATCCCCCGTTGGCTCCCTGCCCCTGTCTGCCAGGGTTCCCGGACCAGCCCCAGAGCTGATGGCTCAGTTTGAGTGCCCATTTTTTCACTATGTGCTGCACTGTAGTCGACCAAAATCCCGGACGATTTTGAAATTCCCCCCAGGACATTATTTTAGGTATGAAAACTAGGACATGTCCGGGAAAAAGAGGACGTCTGGTCACCCTACCATATCAACAATTTAATGTTTCAGTGAGTGAGTGCTTGTTGCTATGATGTATCTTTGCTCAGCAGCTTCGCTCGTTGTAAACCAACCAATCAGCGCACAGCTCATGTAAATATTCATGAACATACCATAAAAGGAAGAAAACTTGTCGTTTCATTCTCTGGCTTTTAACCAGGCTTGCATTAGGGCTCATAGAACAGCAAATATGCCATTTTCAGCCAAACCAATGTTACACAACCTATTCAGAGACCTTAAGGACCAGCACCAAATACCCTAAATAATCATTCTATGACCCCTTTAATAAGAGGGGTCTATTTTATATTCTTCTTGCAAATAGTTCGACTAAGATTGGCTATAATCTGCATTATTTAGTAAAATCTAGACAAGATTACATAGAAGTACCTGTCCTTATAAAATCAGGACTTATCATCTGTGATACCTTTATTTCACAAAATTCATAATGCAAATCCTCTTGTTGTTTTGTTTGACACCAAACCCAGTTCAAGAATGAGTTTTAAACTCCAAGGTAAAATGGTGCACAATTAAATAACCAAAAAACAAATAAACTGATAGAAACGTGTATAAACATGGTGAATGTAAAACCCCTTTACCAGAAGTCCAATTAGCTTCATTGGATAAGGAATAAGAATGATTGTCTTACTGTAACTTTTTACAATACTTTTTCTGAAATTATTGTTTAAAATTATGCATTTTGCATGCATTTATTTACAAATGGAATAACTAAAAAAACAGAATATCAACCAACAGATGCTTTCATTTTATTTGTACTTAGTGGAGTTTTTAACCACATAAAAACTGGATGCATTAAATGACTTGAGCTGATAAAGTGCTTGAATAAGGTGTGGAAGGAGCAAATTAAATGACAGTATCATTAGCAAAAAAATAAATTCTGAGGTTTTGCTTTATGTGTTTGCAAAATCCTTTAATCCTTCCTGTTCTGAGGCTATGGAAGTGAGAAATCCTCACCTTCATTGCATGTTTCAGCTCATATGCATCGTAGACAGGTGCTAACATCAGCAGACCCAGAACAACACTCTTGAAGTTCCCACTCAGCTCTGAAGAAAGATCATCAGCCAGCTCCTGATGTGACAAACCAAAGGATCAAAATGAAGTCATTTTCCATTGATCTCATGAATTAATCTCATAATTAAGATCAGTGATGGAAACTGAATGTCTTCTAAAGACCAGACTTGACATATTCCAGCAGCGCTTGGTTCCCCACTAGAGGGTGTGGTTTCTGGAAACATTTAGTGAACAGAGGAGCTGCTAAGACAGCTGACCACGTGTTGGTGTGAACATGACTCACTCTTCCTGCTTTCTCTCTGTCTTTGCTTTTCCTGCTGTTCCCTCAATGAACTCTCAGAAAAACGTTATTGAATCTCTTACTGGACATTATATGGAGAGATAACATTTATCTCACTATGTCAATCCCAGTGCTTCCCCTTCAGTTAATAAATTGATCCAGACTAATCATAAAAGAACGCAGAGGAAGGTTAGTGGCCTCCCTTATTTGGTTTCAGTGGATGTTTATTATGGGAGAGAGCCTTCCCCCTTCCAGCCGTCCACAGGCCTCCCTCTGTCTCAGGTTGTGTTTACAGATGGTCATTTCAAATGTATTTCTCCTCTTTAGTCAATAGTTAACTTGGACTTTATCTGTGTCTGTACCACACCCACAATGAACACATGATAAGAGCAGACGCTGAAACAAAAAGTGATAAAACTTCAACAGCATTTTATCAATAGGGTTCATTTAGGGTGCTGTTCTTCATTTTTTATTATTTTGTTAAGTTATTGCTTCTCCATTTGCTTAGAATAATGTTTGTTCAAGATAATAATCCTTTATTCAATCAGATGATTGCTTCTGCTCTCACCTTCCCCACAGTTTGTTTGTAGGCCTCCTTGATGCGCTGCCTCTGGGCGATCGTACGGTGCGCCAGGACATCGATGATGGCCGCCTCGTCCGTTCCTGTAAGGCAGATCAGAAATAATTAAACCAATCGAATAACATCAAATACATCTTTTAATATCAGACAGAAATAAACCCAATCAAAGAAAGTTTTATTTTGAATAAGAATAACAGATTAATGGAAAACAGCAATCAAATCCTACCTTGGCCTTTGTGAAAAAAATTATTTTACTCCTAGACCTAATAATAATAATCTAATATTAAGCTTTTACAATAACTGAAATAGTGTTAATTCAGCCACACTGGAGGGTTTCCAATGTTTCTAATACTTTTTACTGCACTGTATCTCAAACCTAACTTTTAATCGGGGCGTCTGTCTAAAAAACATTCCTTCAACAGCCTAGTAGATAACCCTGACAAACTGCACTTTTTCACTGTTGCCATGGAAACTTTCTGTTAGTGAAAGGCCTGAACCTGGAGTCAGCAGCATCAGATTAACCTTGTTAACTCTTAACAGCATCAACATTCTTTTCAAGAAATCTGTCAATATGAAGAAAAGGTTTTTTGTGAATGCGTGTAACGTCATTTCAGAGCACTGCATTCTACAGTGAGATCAGTTTTGTAACGTACTCTGCATGACCAGGGGTTTTATCTTCCTTTTTTTTCAAAGGAAAGTGATATTTAACTGCAGGATGCAGAAAGAAAAGACTTAAAAGTCTTAAATCTACAGCTGTGATTGCAAAACAAATGCTTAGCAACACTAAATGATGCGTCAAACTTTCCTCTAGAAGTTGGGAGGAACAGATTTTTTTCTTTCCATGTAGCCGTCCATCTGTCAACCATAACTTCAGTAAATGAATGAAAATGCTGCTGCTGGCCACTTACCAGTTCCCTTCATGGCTCCTCTCAGTTTCTGGACATCGGCTTCAGCGTCGAAACCAGATGCCTCGGTCACAGTTCCACGGTTTCCAATCTGCTCATAAATGACAAATTAACAGCCATTTATCTATAAAAATATATTTTAGTAAACAGTGCTCAAACTTTCACACCTATAAACTTATCTAAAACAAATTTGGCATTTTCACACTACAAACATGCAGTCCTTTTAATAGAAGCAGAAACTTTTATCTACAAAACTGTGAAGCAATACCAAGATCGTTTATCTTTAGCATCAGAGCATATGTCCCTAAACTTTATCTAGTTTTCTACCTATGTTAAAAAAAGCCCCTTAGGTACATGGTGTTATTTGAAGCATTTTTAAATTAAAACTGTGTCGAGTTCTTCACTCTAAAAATGCTGGGTTGATTTATCAGGGTTATGAAATAGAAAAGTTATTTTGAAGGTAGTTGGATTATTTTTAATGGTACTGTGGTTATGTTTTGCAAAACCTATGCACCAGGTCAAGATTCTTTTCATATCCATCAACCCAACATGCATAGGTTGACCCAGCACCTGGTTGTTTGTGCTTTGAGCTCATCATCTGAAAAGACACGAATGTGCCAAGCTGCATCCTCTATCCACCATCAGCTCACACATTTAGAGCACCTAAATTACCGTCAGCATAGCATGTTATTAGTAAAATGTTTGTACAAACTACTACTGTGTTCGGATCTGGCAGATGCGCCTCAGAAAGCCAGATTCTTCAGTCGATTAAGCGCAGCAAAGCGGCCTGTTCGGCCTCTTATGAGGCTGACAAATGCAGCCGATTTTTGCCACTTTTGAAGGACAGGTCTGGTGTATTCTGCTCTCTACTCTCCATACTCTATCCTAGTCTTACTAAATTATGGTTAATTTAAACTTTATTCCGTTTTATGTCATTTCAATTACTAATGTGAAATTTTCATCATAATTTTCTGTAATGGGAGGGTATGTAAACTTTTAAGCACAACTATATATGTATATATATATGTGTATATATATATATATATATATATATATATGTGTATATATATATATATATATATATATATATGTGTATATATATATATATATATATATATATATATA